AGTAGAAGAGTAATGTACTTTGCTTTATTGACATCAAACAACTTGTTTTGTCTTCCACAAAATCTATATAACAGTAGTATCACATAGTAAAAGCACAATGAGGCATATTAAAACATAGCCAGTTCTAAACAGCCTGGATATTTCCTGTCATAGAAAAGAAGTATCCTGCAGGTAGACTCACATTAACATACATGGTACATTAATATCAATCTCTGTATCAAACACTAGGCCACAGGGTGTGGTTTGCATACAGGGCCAAGGATTGCAACCAACTCATTCTAACACCATTCAGAAGGCTGATATATATGACAATGACATTATGGAACTGGATAATTGACCTTTTAGATCCAAGTCCTAGAGTCACCTAGGAGTCTTGGAAGACTCCTAATGGTTGCAGCCATTGGTAAAACAAGTCAGCAAACCCCTGTGGGACCCCAAAACAGTATCACTCAAGACAATCAACCACCTTACCAAAAACGAAAGCTGGAAAGAAACCAAAGGAGTGATGTGGTTCATCTGACTAGGTAATACTGTTTTTTAGTATAAAATGGAGGTTAGAAAGTCAACACACTTTTAAATGACTTTTTATGAACTTAAAATATTTAACTCTAGACTAAAGGAATATTTTATGCAACAAAAAGAGAATGCCAAGGAGTCTTATTGGTATAAGTACATGGCCATCAATAAGACAAGTTTGAAATACAAATTTGCAAATGAAAGAGGCAGTAAGGTCATTGCTTTTCTGAAAAAATAACCAACCTTATTCTCTAACTTGTTCTTTACAGAAGAGACTACCCAATGTTATGAACCTTTAACAGATTTAAAGCAAGAGTTTATAATCATGTTCATCTATTAAAGATACTTTATAAAACAAGAATTCCACAAAAAATTTCTAACAGGCTTCTTTGCCTGGCTGCTGTATATGAAGATCAAAACACAGCCCCTCCTATACCTCTTCTCCCCAATACTGATGTGCCTGAATAACCAGAGGTGGCGTCTCTTGGTGACAGAGTACACTCAAGCCTGTCAGTGACTTTGTCACCAAGGACCCAGCATCATGGACCTGTTAGGAACATGAGAGCACAACGAAATGACTCTGACCCATCATCTCTTCCAACACTGGATTTGTTGACCAGCAGATGGGTCAACAGCCAAGTAAAATCTAGCCAACTTCAGTTGGAGGGCAGTACACCCCAGAGGATGGCACTGTGCAGGACCGGGTAGTATTTCATTCTGTTGTACACAGAGTTGCTATGTGTTGGAACCAACTTGACAACACCTAACAACAACAACCAAGAAGATGCCTGGTACATAATGGAGACACTACACAGCCAACTCCCTCTTGGCAGTGCCCCAATGCTGTCTCACCCTGTGAGTCCCCCACTTGTCCAGTGTTTCAGCTAGACCCTGACAAGCACAGCTTCCCAACCTGTGTGGCATTGTTCTGTCCCTGCAGCAGAACACAACTATAGGACAAGAGTCCCAAACAGACGCTGGACTTCGTGGGGGGACAGGCTAGGTTTTACTTCTTCGGAGGAGTGTGGACACAGGGCTGTGGTCAGGTGATCCACCCAGCTGCTGGCCGCCCTGGAACTTGAGGCTCTGTAGGTTAATGTGGGCCCCGTGCTTGAGGAGCACAGCCACTGTCTTTGCATGCCTACCCTGAGCGGCCAGGTGCAGAGCACTGAGACCCCGGTCATCATTCAGGTTGATGCTGGCAGCACTGACCAGCTCCTCCACCACCTCCGAGTGTCCATGAGCGGCGGCCAGGTGAAGGGCCGTCTGGTTCAGTGGTCCACGGGCCAGCACATTGGCTTTCTCCTCCACCAGCAGCTTTACAGTGGCGAGGTGTCCATTCCGGGCGGCCAGGTGCAGAGCCGTGCAGCCCTCGGTGGTGAGCGCCTCCTTCTCAGCACCACGGTGCAGGAGCAACCTCGAGGTGCTTGTGTGGCCAGTCTCAGCGGCCACGTGCAGAGGCGTCTGCGAGAGCTGGTTGTAGATGTTGACATTGGAACGCAGGTCAATGAGGATGCGGGCCACACGGTAGTGCCCACGCTGGGCGGCCAGGTGCAGGGGTGTCCTCCCGTCTAGCGTCTGGGCATTCACACTCACGCCTGGCTGCTTGGCCAGCAGCTTCACAATGGACAGGTGGCCCTGCCAGGCGGCATAGTGCAGTGGGACCCAGGCATCCTTGCCCTGCAGGCCAGCGTCCACACCGCGGCGCAGCAGGATTCGCACGATGCTCTCCTGGCCGTGCTGACAGGCCACGTGCACAGGTGTGCGGCCCTCGCAGTCTGCCTCGTCGACAGAGGCATTCTTCTCCAGTAGCAGCCGCGTGCTGGTCTCGTCCCCGTTTTGGGCAGCGAAGTGCAGGGCTGTCCACTGGTCTTCATCCTTGGCGTTGACACTGATTTTGCGGGCCAGCAGCAGTTCCACGACACCTCGCACCCTCCGCTCGACAGCCAGGTGCAGGGGCGTGGAGCCCTTCCGGTTGGTCAGGTTGGGGTTGGCATTGTTGAGTAGGAGCCACTTGACACACTCTTCCTGGCCAGCCTCCACAGCCAAATGCAGGAGGCTGGCACTGCCCTCCAGGACCAGGTCCACATCCTGGGGCAACAGGATCTTCATCAGCCGGCTGGTGTCCCCACACATGATGGCATCCACCAGCTTCTTCTTCTGAATGTCTGTGGTGCTGAGCTCTGCAGGGAGAGGAGACACAGGGTCAGCAGGGCCAGGGGCACACTGGCTTCACCCTCCATCCACTGGCTTTACTCACAGGTCCCTCAATCTGCAAACCTGAGGCCAGCACCCACACCTGACTGGGTACAGGTAAGACTCTATCTTACAGCCAGGTGACTCGGCCAGGACACACCTCTGGATCTGTGCCCAATAAGTTGACAACAGCAAAAACACCCCAAATCAATTAGTGAAGGGAGAGAGAATTACAGTCAAGAACTTGGATGGCTGGCACTTTCCAGTTGTTGTGACTCTTCCATCCTGTCCCTTCCCTTCAAGCTCAGGAATCAGCTCCTAAGTTCTCAGGGCACACAGTGCTCTCCACTCACCACCTGTTGAGGGCTCCCGCTCAAAAGACAAGGACAAGGACCCTCTGGATGAGAAGGCAGAATCGACGGAAGAGACCCCCGAGAGCCTTTTGCCGCTGCTCGATGAGGGGAGTTTGGATTCTGAGGAGCTGCGGCTGAGCTCTTCCGGGCCCTCGATGGTCTGAGAAATCCCAGAGTCCAGCTGCGATAACAGCTCAGAGAGGCTGTAGTCATTATCAAGTGCTGGGGCCGAGGCACGCTTGAGGGGCGTGGACGCAGGCATCACCTGCAAGGGGTGCAGAGAGGAAAATGAATGAAGATCCCAACATCTCTCGCTTGGCCCATCCAGGACACAAATGTGGAAAAGCAAGGGGAATTATGGATTGAATTGTGTGTCTCCCAACAAAACCACCAATCATTAAACACTCAACTATTAGCTAAAAGGTCAGTGGTTCAAACACAACCAGAGGCACCTCAAGAGATAGGCCTGACAGTTCTGCATGGGACAACTCCTGGGTCTCCAGGAAATGGAACCTACTCCATGGCAACTAACAACATCTGTGGATGTAATTCCATCGGGGGAGGGGAAGAGGATTTTCTTCATTTTGTAATGAAGCCATATCATCAGATAGGGTGAGTTTTAAGTCAATCACTTTAGAGATAAGCAAGGAAGTGCAAATGGGGGGAAGATAAGGGGCAGGCTACAAGAAGATCACCAAGGAACAAGGACCATCCCCCAGAGCCAACTCCCCTATAGCCAGGTACCCTGAATTTGGACTTCTAGCCTCCTGAACTGTAAAAAAAATGTTTCTGTTTGATAAAGCCACCCATTGTGGTATATCTGTTACAGCAATACTAGGATATTAAGACAATGGGCAAGAGGAAGAAGAGACTATCACCTACGTGCAGTCAATAAATAAGGCAGAGAATTCAATCATTTTGGTTAATTGAATTCTGTGTAATTCATGCATACACACACACTGGGGAGCTTCAGATGACTGAAACAAGAGTGACTTGACAAAAACAGAAAGTCCTGTTCCAGATTATAGTGGCAGAGGTTACATGAGGTTCTCATTATCATTCAGACAAAAGGCACAACTGGAGCAAGCTGGACTTTATCCATCTAGAAAAAGGGAGTGAGTGAAAAACACCAGGACAGAGATGTGCAACCCTTCTTTGTCCTTCTTGTCATCTGCTATAAAATGGGCCCCCAACTCATGAAGACCCCATGCACAATGGAACGGAACACTGCCCAGTTCTGTACTGTTCCTGTGAATGGTTGGGGTATCAGATTATTGTGACCCATTGTTTTCAGTGGCTAAGTTTTGCAAGCAGTTCCCCAGGCTTGCCTTTCTGGTCCATCATAGTGACGTGCAGACTCTCTCTCTCAGCCCTGTGGTTAGCAGTCCGGTGCCTACCCTTCAGTGCCACCAGAGCTCCTATTGCCTCCTGCTCCTAGAGCCATTTGTTGCTGTCGTTAAGTGCTGTCTAGTTGGATGCGAGTCACAGTGACCCTGTATAGGGTTTCCGAGGAGCAACTTGCAGGTTTGAGCTGCCAATCTTGCAGTTAGCAGTTTAGTGTTTGTCCCCCAATGCCACACCAGAACTCCTTTGTTATTGTTGTGAAGTACCATGGAATCAGTCCCAACCCACTTCAATCCTGTAAAGGGGTTTCTGAGGCTATAAATCCTCCTTTGTTGCTAAGTGCCATTGAGTCCGTTCCAACTCATAGCAACCCTGTATAGGGTTTCCAAGGATAGACTGCTGAGTTTCAACTGTCACCCTTAAGATTCAAACCAACCTGGTGGTCTAGTGCTTTATCCCGCAGCACACCAGGACTCCAAATCCTCCTTTGTTGTTGTTGTTAAGTGCCATGGAGTTGGTTCTGACTCATAGCAACTCTGTAAAGGGTTCTGAGGAGCAGCTGGTGAGTTTGAACCACTGACCTTGCAGCTCAAACAACCCAGCAGTCCAGTACACTATCCTACAGCACCACACCAGGACTCCTCCTTTAGAGTCCTGCAAATCTGGCTTAGGGGCTGAATGTGGACAGTGGCAAGGGGATGAAGACTAGCTGCCAGGACAACATGACCGTGCAACCCAGGAGAGATCCATCTATCAGGCGATGAGCAGATTTCTGCTGAGTGCTGAGAACATGCCCATGACTCATGACGCTTCCCAGATTCACGCCCATTTACTACCAATCCCTCTCCTCTTTGGAACCAGCAATACTCAAGAGCCTGATCTGTCCTTAACTTTGCTCCTTTCTGCATTCAGTCATACCCACTTGTTGGTTGCCATCTTTTTTATCAGGGGCCAGGGCTGACTCTCGCATGGCCACCTTTGCTCCCTGGCCTCACAGATCAGACAGTGGGTGTGCCCTGCAGGCTACTTATCTCCCAGCCTTACATTGACAGCCTAGAATCAACTGCCCAATATTAGATAACACGCTACAAATTTAGTTTATTAGGCCTTCTGCTCCTGCTAAGACTGAAAACGTACAGAGTCACTATGAGTCAGAACTGACTTAAAAGCACTTAACAAACAATTAACTTAAAATGTACTAAGACAGTCTGAGCATTTGGAAGTTCTCGTTGCATCTGAAACACCTTATGTGGTATTCAATAAAAGAACCACATTGTACCACATTTTTTCCCCCTTAAAAAAAGGAGCCCAAATGCCCAAACCAGAGGTACAAAGACACCCAGACTCCTGCAATCCAGATTACAAGCCACCCTCCTTCCCTGAAATGGGCCCAGAGGCCAGCTCGTACAATCCATTAAGAGCATCCGGTGTACAGCTACTGAACACCTAGTCTGGTGTGAACAACACAGGATTAACTACATGGAAATTGGGTGGGGGGGCACAGAGAACAAGTCAGGAGTCATGTGGCTGACTGGGGGGGTGTACACCCTGCACCAGACACAGGTCACATGATAGGCTCAGTAACACAGCCACCCTCCGACGGAGGACCCACCACAGCATCAATATTATTTGGAGAACCAAGAGGAGTCACAGTGGGAAGACTCAGACACAAAGCTAATGACACCAACAGACACCCATGACACCTCTGAGAAGACCCCAATTTACCTCACTCTTGGCCTCCGGGGGACGTTTTGCATCTAGATCCTGAGCTGTTTCTTTCACTTCATCATCGGGCTTTTCACACAAGTCCTCAGTCTCAGAAGTAATTTCTTAGGGGAGAAAACATAAAGGGACATGTTAGTCAGACAATCACCTCCCTGAGTACTCTACCTCCAAGACTAATCGCAGGAACAGAGGGGCAGCAGCCCCAAACTGTGACGTCACCGAGGATGAGCAGTGGGCTCCTTGAATCTCTCAAATAGAGTTGGCCGCACCAGACCACCCTCACCAGGAGCTTCCCCACAGCCGCTCTGCAGACTGAAAAGTAGGAGCCAGTCTTCTCCAAGACCCTAAATAAAGGAACTTTCCTCAGGAAAAGCCCAACTAGACAGGCTGTGGCAGGGTAGGAGGCGGTCCCCACCTCATCTGTGCTGTCATCCTTCCCTGTGCATTTTAAATGCACTGGTCACTTTCAATGTAATCAGGTTAATTCCCTTACCAAGTGACACATCTGGTCTAAGGAAACAAGACCCATACTGAAGTGCTCTGGAAACCCTGAGGCCCTGTCTGATCAGACTCCTAAACACACACCACTGTATCAGGACATGAAATATACAGGCTCCTCAGGGCAGCAAACCCAGCCCTGGGAGTTGCCTGTGTGGCTCCGGACAGTCATATTCCCATTGTGATTTTGAGGGCCACAGGAGGTGCGTGATCCATCTGTTGGTGCAGGGTGGTATTGGTCCGCCTGTCTGTCTGCACATGGGCCCAAGCCTGCTGCTAACTTTTGACCCTAAGACCTAGGCAGAAAACTTTTTCTTCCACAATGCCAGCAGAAGAGGACAGCAGTACCATTTTGCAAGGAGCTCAGTGCTAGGTAAAAGACTGGCTGGTGGCGCCCACTCACCTTGGAAAGTGGGCCTGGCTTGTGGGTCATCCAGCCAGCACCGCTGCATGAGGCGGATCAAGTTGCTGCAGGCTCGAGGCCGGGGTCTGCAGACAGGGGGAAGCTCAGGACGGTGCCCCTTCACCACCTTCACCATAATGTGCAGAATGTTCTTCTCCTCTGCAAAGGCAAGGTGCACAAGTCACAACAGCTCTGGGAACTGAGGGATGGGGAGCTTATCTGCAATAAGAAGCAGGGACCGTGGGAAAGCACCCAGAGGCACACTCTGTGCCGCCCATCCACAGGCTCAGCACTGGGGAACGATGCTTCCTCTTCCCAAGATACACAGCCCTCTTTAGCCCTTGTTCTTACAGAGCACACATCTTCTCCTAACTTATTTTCAAGGATTAGGATTTACCAAATGGAATCAGGGCTCTTTATCACAGAAGAGATCTTCCTGGGCCTCTAACTCAAAGGAAAAGCAGCTTCAAAGGAGGAAAATATCTGACGAGGCATGTTCTCAAGTGGCCCATGCCTGCCCAACAACGTCAAACGAATAAATCACAGCATCGGCAGTATCCAACATCCAAATGGCACAAATCTCCCTAACATGGTGAGAAAATTCTTCCTGAATCCCAACTCCTGCCATAAACCACAACACCCTCCCACCCCTACGTCCCCATTAGCTTCCAGTGAACCAGTCCCAAAGCCCACGATGTTCACCTTAATCAGTGAGTGGGTAGGACAACACACACAAAAGCTTTGTTATTGAGGGGGCAGAGGCTGAAGCTCTACTTCAGTTGGGAGTGGCTCAGGGGGACCCTCACTGGGCCAGTTTTCTCTGGTCAGCTTCAAATCACACTGTCCATCAGCCTGAGCTCTGAGCTCTTAACACTCCCCCACTGTCCATCAAGCCTGAGCTCTGACCTCTTAACACTGCCCGTGGGAAGGGAACTCTTTGGAGAGGCAGGTTGACACACATCAGCAGGTATGGAAAATTGGCCCAAAGTCCCCAAGAACTGCCAGATCCTACACTGATGTCTTGTTTCATTTCCCCATTAAATCTTGTGTCCTCATACTTCTAAGTATCCACACATGGTTCCCATGACAATTGAGCTTTCCAAATGACAAGAAATGATATGTCTGGACTATTCTCTGCTCCTCAATAAGAAGTGCTGTTAAACGTTGGCACCTTTAAGTACCTTATCGACCAAGCAATAAATGCGAGGGGGCCCCCTTCTCAACTTTCTGTACCATATGCCAGCTTCAGGCATCACTTCTACCAGAGAATTGTAAAGTCAGTGGTATGCTGACCAGTTGAAGAAAATTCATGGAGGGAAATGAGCAGTTATGCTAGAAAAAGGGGCAAGATAATGTAACTGCAGCCTTGTTAGAATATTCTATTCTTTCTAGAGGGAAAGAAAATCCCTAAGATATTTAAATGTGATATGCTAAGTTCCCTTCCGGTCTAGCATGGAACTTTAACAGACTCTCCTAGTCTATGACTGTATCAATGATCACAAAGAAGGTACAAGACCAGGCAATGTTTCTGTCTGTCTTTCTGTCTGTCTCATGCATTAGGGTGCCATGAGTCGGAGCAATGAACAATTACAGCCTCACAACCAGCGAGTGACTCTCCAGACCTATTGGTCACCTTGTGATTTTGAGCTGTATTTTTAGCTGTGATCTTGTGACTGCACGAGATTTAACGGGAAAGTGAAACAAAACATACATGTGGGATCTGGCAGCTATCAGCAACGTTGGGCCAATTTTCCACACCTTCTGATAGCATCTACCTGCCTCTCTCTCCAAGAGCTCCCTTCCCACGGGTGTGTTGGGCACTGGGGTGTGTGTGTTGGCAACTCAGGAGGGAGGGGGTGTTGAGAGTCGGAGGGGGGGCGCTAGAAACAGGAAGGAGGAGTTAAATGACTATAGAAGAAAAGGCTCCCTTTCTCCAATGAAGCCAAAAGGATTCTCAATTCTTTAATCAAGGGATCTAACTATGGTGACAGGAATTACAACAGTGCCTTCCCAGAAGGGGAGGAAGATGTTAAAGTTCTGGGTAGTGGCGACCCAGTGCACACATCTGTCTACATGAACAGAACCCTTCAGATCTGTGTCCTTTCCTGTAGGTAGATTATACTGCAAGAGTGTTCTGTTAACAGAGGGGTGGTCTCCCTGCAGACTGTTGGGCAGAACAGAGCAGTCCCAGCCCAGGTGTGTACAGGATGGACCACAGGTACCATCTGAAAGCAGGAAGAGTATGATGGTACCCCATGAGCTCCCAAGAGACAAATGCAGCACACCAAAAGAGAGGTCCACTCACCTGCAAACGGTTTCTTCTGTGTGAGTATCCCCCAGAGAACGATGGCAAAGCTGGAAGAGAGACCAGACTCATGAGCATCTTATAACCCAGATCCCCAAATAAAGTACAAAACTTTCACAGCAGAGAGAGAAAGACAAAACCACCCTAAGAAATGACACCAAGTTATTTCTCATGAATTTTTACAAAGAAAAAAAAAATTTCTTATCATGAAACCTGCCCTATAGCCAGCTCAACTGCTAAATGAGCTGCAAGTCACCCTTCCACCTGAGAAACGCCATAGGGGATTCCCATCTGGAAGGTACTCAAGTATTCAACAACTAAATGGACAAATGAATGAAGGGCAACTCATGTCTCCTCTCTTCTTTCTCCTTTCTACGGCTTGATTCCTTCACCACACAGATCAAAATGCTCCCAACTGTGGCTCTGGGCTCTATGAGCCTAGCTAGCTTAGATTTCATCAATGAGATGGTAAAGGAATCTCTTTCTTTCTCTCTCTCTCTCACACACACACACACACACACACACAACATCAGGAGGCAAACCAGCTGGATGCCACAAAGCCCCATTTTTGGATGTTAGAAAATCAACCTATCTAATAACTATTCTGGGTATACCAAAGAAAGAGAACTTAAGCCTAATTAAGCAAAAATAAAAAATAGTCTGATAATCAGTAGGACAAAAATGAAACCACTGCGCACAAAGTCCTGAGTGACGGGCTTATAGACAAGTGAGGATTCTCCCTTTAAGCTTAAATTTACAAGTTCAAAAGTTTACAGTCTCAACTCTAAAATAAAAAAGTGACTCTTTATTTTCCCCAAATTCTACAAGCCAGGGCTAGTTCTAACAGCGCACAGCTCAAAGGCTCAGCTCAGCACCTGGACAACAGCGACTGCCAAACCAGTCAGCCGGGACTCAGGCGGGCAATGATGACAACTAAGCAAAAGCCAAGTGACTCAGGACTTAGGGTCAGAGTCTCAGTGGGTACCAAGAGAACACATGAGGACTTAAGTGCAAGCTTGCTCACTCCTCCCTCTTTTCTTCTCCAAAAAGTGTGAGTGATTAAGACCTTTACAATTTGAAGAAGAAAGGGAGCAAATGAGTTGGGGATTGTTCTCTAGGTACATAATTCCCACTGGCTTAGAATAGCCTCAAGGGTGTCTACATTCCCATGACCAGGGTAAGAGAGTGAGGAAGGTGAGCCGCTGGGCCCAGGAAGACTGAAAGAATGATGGCAGCAGTGGTGGTTAAGTGGGAGTGTGCCATGGAGTCGGTTCTAACTCATAGCAACCCTGCATAGGGTTTCCTTAGCTGTAAATCTTTACAGGAGTAGAAAGTTTCATCTTTCTGCCACAGAACAGCTGGTAGTCTTGAACTGCTGACCTTGAGGTTAGCAGCCTGACTCGTAATCATCACGCTACCAGAGTTCCTTGAAAGAATGATGGTGAGGATGAATCCATATGGATCCACCCATGAGAGACACACTTGTATGTGAACATACACACACAGATCCTTCCAACAGACAAGCAATAAAATCCAGTTCATGAAAACACCAAAACTCTTATATGGTGGGAGTTAGTCTGTCTGGTTACATAACTGCCTCCAACGGGCACTCCCTCCCATAGCCCTCCTCCCAACTGGCACGCAGCTTCCACCCGTGGTCAGACTGAACACCCAGGAAAGAGATGGCCCTCACATCCCTGGGGAAGCCTGGATGCTTCCGCTAAGAGCATCCTAAATTCAACAAGTTCTCATCCCTTCATCTGGACCGAATCTCATCCTTGACAGGCGCAGTTTGCATTTGTGGGTGCATTGTCCAGATGTGGGTGGAAGGTATAAGTCTAACCCACCTGTATACATCATGCTTGGTGTCAAACAGCCGGCTCTTCTCACGGATGCGCTCTGGAGGGAGATAGGCGATGGTGCCAAACAGTCCGTCCATGCTGAGGTCGTGTGAGTGGGACAGCCCATTGCACTTGGCAAGCCCAAAATCAGAAATCTGCAACACAGGCCGAAAAGGCTGTTACCCTTCATCTGCAGCCTTACCAGGACAGGCGTCAGAGCTGACATTGGCTAACCAGTTGTCATGGAACTGGCCTTGACACGTGGCAACTCCATCTATGTAAGTGTAGAAAACTGTGTTCCACAGGGTTTTCAATGGCTAGTATTTCTTTTGAGGGGGAGAGGCAGGTCACCGGGACTTTTTTCCAAGGTGCCTCTGGGTTGGCTCAAACCTTCAACTTTCAGTTAATAGCTGAGTGCTCACCCATTTGTGCCACCCAGGAGCTCCTGACATTTTACTACATTTTATCAACAGCTTCAGAATACTTCTGCAGTGCCACCTAGGTCCCTAGGCTCTCCTGTGTACCAGAACTGGGGCAAACTAAGGAAGAAGGCAGCTCCTTGGGAGTTTTCCAGGGGTCCTGACTGTCCCAGGTAGTGCAGTCCTGTCCCAAGCAGGCAGCGACGGCTCAAGAAGAGTGACGCCTGAAACCACTAGAGTAATGCATTAGATTGATGGGGAGACGAGACACTAGACAGAACACTTTAAGGAAGATATTCACTAGCAATTACAACTTTACTCCTGGAAGGCATTATAGCTGCCACTACAGCTGACAGCCTAAGTAGAAAAAAACAAAACAGCCATTACCATCACATTCATTCAGACTCCTAGCACCCCATGTGTTATGGAGAAGAACCTTTGCACGCCATAGGGCTTAAAATAGCAGTCTGTAATCTTTTACCCCTTTCTTTTAATGAAGATAAAATTCACATATCACTAAACTCACCCTTTTCAAGGAACTCTGGTTTTTAGTATATCCACACTCTCATAGAACTATCGTGGCTACTGTTGCTAAGCGCCATCCAGTTGGTTCCAACTCATTGCAACCCTGTGTAGGGTTTTCGAGGAGTGGCTGGTGAGCCTGACCACCAACCTTGCAGTCCAGTCCAGCATGTTAACCCAGAGTGCCACACCAGGACTATTACAATCTAATTATAGAATAATTTCAACTCTCACGAAAGGAAACTTATATCCATTAGCAGTCCCTCGTACCTCCACCCCTGGCCACCACAATCTACTTTCTAGTGCTATGGATTTGCAACAGCTATAATCTTTATAAGGAGCTCTGGTAGCATAGTGGTTACGAATCGGGCTGCGAACCGCAAGGTCAGCAGTTCAAAACTACCAGCCGCTCCATGGGAGAACGATGAGGCTTTCTGCTCCCGTAAAGATTTACAGCCTCGGAAACCCTGTACAGGGTCGCTATGGGTCAGAACTGACTCGACGGCACTTAACAACAACAATAATAATATTCATGGAAGCGAATCAATGGACCTGTTTTTTTCTTCCCAGTAGCCTCATGGGCTAGGTTTGAACCACCAACCTTTATTTAGGTTAGTGGACAAGCTCAGACCATTTGAGCCACACAGGGTCAGCAAGCTGCAGATCGTGCAGGCCCAGAGCAGACATGTGAAGAGTCAGGTCTTTGTGCCAGGGCGACCCGGTTATGCAATCAGGCGTGGGAAGGGAGGGCAAGTGGCAACAGGTTTTTTGGGGGTTTGTTTTATTTTTTTTTTGTAAAGGGGAAGCACACCTTTGGGAGCTCTTTAAAGCAAACAAAACCCAAATCAAGCAGCCTCAGATGGGCCTTCTGTTCTCCACCCCAAAATTCTATCACTGATGGACACCTGTAGTCTCCTTCACCCAACCTGTGGTATTCCAGGAAAGGTCTGAGGGCATTTTCTCAGGCCTCAGGGGACATTAGGGACTTCAAGGCCCACAGTTTTCTTTTCTGTGAAGTGGGCACAACTAGAATGGTACAGACCCTCAGCCCTTCAGTCCCTGGTGGTGTGCCAGCCTTGCTCTCAGCTTCTTCCCTCCTGTGTAAACCAAACTCCTTTGAAGTCGCTGGCATTGTGTGTGGGATTAAGCCACAACTCATTAACATTAATGGGAACCAGGATCCACGTGGAAAAACGGCCCCTTTATGTTCTCCTTCAAGGCTTAGGGACTTTTTAAAGCCTTCTAATTAACTTCTGGGTTCCTCCTCCAACACATCTCCTGAGTGACAGGAAACGGGGCTGAGTCAGGTTTATGAGGAACCCATACTGGCCAAGCCCAGGTGAACCAGTGGGCCTGCTGTCACTACCAGCTGAATTGCAGGATTTGTAACTGGTGACTTGGTTCTTTAAGGGATCTCTGACCACATCTGTTGGGTGGAGATGGGAAGGAAGCTGGCGAGACAGGGCCTCACTTTCTGCAGCAGGTGACAGGGAGGGGGGGGCCGGCAGTGTGGGGGCCCAGGAGCACCAGAGCCCAATTCCATCTCTGGGCCCCTCGAGTTTCTACTTGTTCTATGACACTTAAGCCTCAGCAGCACTTGAAAGAACCCTCCGCCCTCTTGTAAGGAAATTGTTAATCTGCCAGAATAAAACCACCCCCAAAATCCCGCAAATCAGCCAGAAGCTGGGAAACAACTCTCAAAACGAGAGTCTACCAACAACAGGAACCTTTCAGTTTTAAAGTCACAATGAATGCTACAGAGCCACCAACCCTGCCATCTTTCTCAAAGTGCTAGTGTCTAAATGTTAGTGATTTACTCACACACCAGTCTTTAGATCCTTAGCAGTTTTATATGAAATTTTCACGAATTATTTATCTTTACACACACATGGTTGTTGTTAAGTGCTGTCGAGTCAGTTCTGACTCAAAGCAAACCGGTATTAGGTTACCAAGGAACAGCTGGTGGGTTTGAACTACCAACTTGTGGCTAGCAGTACAGCGCCACACCCGGACTCATACACACAGACACACATAAATATGAGGGGGCTTCTAAAAGTTTGTAGGAAAATGGAATTGAAGGATATGGCATTTTGTTCACAAACGTTTTGAAGTCCCCACATAAACACACACATATATACATACAAATGAACTAACAGCTTGTAACTATAAATTACATAACCATATTGGGCTGGGACATAGGAGTCTTTGCACCCAAAACTTCTCCCTCATCTATGGCCTTATTTCTATCAGATCTACTCAACCACTTCAATATGTAATTGGTAATGAGAAATGAAGTGTAAATTCTACACACAAAGTCTCTGGCATCAAAGTGTTAACTCCAAATTCAGAATTCCCTGATGGTGTCCGGCTTCTCCTGGGTCTCATCTCTGTCCACAGATGAACTCCATCAAACCAGTTGCCATTCAAGTCGATTGTCACTCATTGTGACACCATGGATTATTACATTACAGAGAACAGCGCTCCACTGGGTTTTCTGCTTTTTAAAGAGAAATAGACTGCTAGACCTTTCTTCTGTGGTACAGCTGAGTGGGTTCAAACCACCACCCTTTAGATTAGTGTTGTTGTTATTAAGTGTCATAGAGTCAGTTACGACTCATAGCAATGCTGTAAAGGATTTCCGAGAAGCGGCTGGTAGGTCTGAACCACTGACCTTGTGTCCCAGGGCATTATCCTGCCACACCACACCAGGACTTCTAGATCAGTGTTGTTAAAGTGCCAAGTCGGTTCCGACCCATAGTGACCTTGTATAGGGTTTCCAAGGAGCAGCTGGTAAGCTTGAACCACCAACTTTGCAATTCAAACCAAGTTTGAAGTCCCGTGCATTAACCCACAGTGCCATACTAGAGTGAGTGCAAATTATTCCCAACATCCAGGGATTGTTAACATTTGTCACTTGGCCTGTCCCATACTGGCTGGTGTCTTCCCTGGGTGGACCCTCAGCATCTCGATCACTTTAAACAGTAAATATAACTCACAAACACACTTTCACACACAGTACTGGGTTCACTTTGATGGAGAGCTCAGGTTCACCAGTGTCCGAGCACATAGACCCCTTGAGTCAAGATGGACAAGACTAATTACAGGACAGTTGGGGCTGTGCTTCCTTACACACAGAGACACGTTTAAACCACAGCAGAACATTCCCTTCATGTCTTCCTTGGAATATAGTCTTTTCTGGACAACTGGGCATAAAAATGCAGCCTGCAATTTCATACCGGGTCATTTTATTTTAAAGTTAAAATATGCTTATATGCTTATACTACTGATTACACAAATACTTCGAACTTTGCAAAGTAGACGGCTGCTGCAGAATTCAGTTCTAATAGCATCAGTACCAGTTGCTACCACATTGATTCCAATTCATGGCAATCCCCATGTGTGTTGGAGTAGAACTACACACCACAGGGCTTTCAAGGGTTAATTTTTCAGAAGTACATCATCAGGCTTTTCTTTTGAGAATATTGTGGGTGGACTTGAACCTCCAACCTTATGACTAGCAGCCTAGCTTCATTAATCATTTGCACTATCCAGGGCTTCCACTGTCTACACAAACAGGTCATAGATGAAGGAATAAGAATAGGGTTAGAATGGAAACCCATGAACTTATTTCAAGATTCCAAATAAGGTTTAACTGCTTCAGATAATTGCCCATTGAATATGTCCAATGGCAAACAAAAAGCTTTCAAGCCGTGTTTTCAGGAACAAAAGAGCTGACACTCGGAATCTCAAACCCAAACTCCTAGTGCCCTGTACACACCCAATTAGCAATTTCTAAGAATAAAAGAAACATGTTATGTAAATACATTTTTTCTGTTTGTTTTGAGACTTCCGTGATGGTGACTAACATGTCTGATTAAGAAGGGAGTTACACAAAGTACCCACCCTTCATGCACTTTGGGACAAGGCCCTCAGGGAGAAAGAGTGATAGCGTGGGACACAGCATCACCCCACTTCCCAACAAATCCTCGGTCAGGAAAGCGGTCCCCATGAAGGCTGTCCCCCACTCTCCTCTGAGTCACTTTCTGTTCTTTATTAGTGCACACTTTGGTTCTTTCCAGAGTCTTCAACCATTAATTAAGACACTCATAAAACCAGCAGCTGCAAACTCAGATGTTTATAAGGTGGAAAGAACATATTCTAACTAAAAGATGAAGAATCAACACAGGCATCACCTAAAAGGAAAGCAAGCCCCTGGCTTCTCAGGGGAGCACAGCACTCATTTCCTTCCCAAGCAAGGATTAAGTGGCTACTACATGACCCTGTACAGGGTCGCTATGAGTCGGATCTGACTCGATGACATTTAACAACAACAACAACGATGGCATTGGAGGACTCCTGATGTGGTGCTACAGGATAAGCACCGGGCTGCTAACCACAAGGCCAGCAGTTCAAACCCACCAGCCACTCTGCAAGAGAAAGATGGATGAAGCTGCTGCCGTAAAGATTTACAGTCTTGGAAACTCTATGTAGGATCACAGTGAGTCAGAATTGGCTCGATATGCCAGTGGGCTTTGGGTGGGTGATAAGCCATTGGTAGTTGAGTGGTAGAGTCTTGCCAGCCAATGCAGCTGTGTGTAGCCACCACCTACCTGCTTGCATGTTGCTATGATGTTGACAAGGTTTCAACAGAGCTTCCAGAGCAAGATGGGCTAGGACGAAAGGTCTGGAGATTTACTCCTAAAAATCAGCCAATGAAAATGGTACAACTACAACCAACCAAGGGGATGGCACAGGACCAGGCAACATTTGTTCCACCAAGAGTCAGGGGCTGAGTCAATGGTAGCTAATAACGAAAAGTGCTATCTTCTAACTCATCTTATTATTGAGAAATAACTAGGTAGAAGCACTTATACGTACTGTCCGGAGTGAAAACAGCCATGTCTATTGCTCCCTATAGCTCAGCAGAGAGCACAGTGGAAGCGTGCAGTATGCCTGTGAAGGAGGCACAGCCCATGTGCAATCTGTCTCTGGTCCCACCCTCATTTCACAGGTGAGGAGTTGAGGGCCAAGCACAAGAAAGGGCAGGGTTGGACCCTGAACCCAGGTCCCTTCTGTCCCTCAACCCAGCAAAGTGTCCCGCAAGTACTTTGGAATCCCCAGAGCACAGCAGCGAACTCCTCTGCCTGCTCCCTAAGGAATCTGGGGTGTTCTCTAGGTCACTGTGCTCCGTGGAAAATAAAGGGTGAAGCAACACGCAACAGTGTGGCCCAGCATCTGACCCACACTATTCCAAGAAGTGTGGACATCACAGGCTACCACAGACACAGACCACGGAACAGCCTTGGACACAAAATTCCTTCCAAAGGAGAAACTTATTTAAAGAAATACAGCCTCAAGCAGAAAGGACAATGCTAGCAACCGTCAATTCTGGGTGGCTGGCTGGTGCCTGGTTGTAAGTTATAGTATCCCTCATACTTTATGTTTTAGAAGCATCCCCCAAAGTAAAACTATACCCACAATGCTCCGCAGCCTCCATTTCAGAGAGCCCCCACATTCCCACCAGCCTCACCCCTGAAGCTACTGGTGGGAAATACATCCCTTAACCTTGTAGCCCAAGATCTTACCTGCTAATGATGTCTGACACACAGTCTGATTTCTGACCCTAACTAATCTCTTCAAGACCAGAGTCGCTGGTAGTATAAACCGTTAAAGCACTCAGCTGCTAAGGTTGGAAGTTCAGGTACACCAGAGGTGCCTTGGAAGGGCTACTTTCAACAAATCAGTCACTGAAATCCACACAGAGCACAGTTCTACTTAAGACATTCACGGGGTCACCATGAGTTGGATTCGACTCAATAGAAACAGTAGGACCAGAATCCACAATCTCTTTCTCCAAGATGTCCACCAAAAAGTACAGTCATGTGCCTAGATTTAAAGCAATGACGCCTGTATTCATAAGGGTCCATTTTCCAACCGTAACATGGTTCAAAATTACTGAATATCTTATGTAGAGAAAGGCATTTGGTTAAAGTCCTTTCTCCCAGAAACCATCTCTTTTTCTGCCCATGTACAGAATTTAACTGGAGTGGTATAAAAGGATTAATACTTGGCCACTAATCAAAAGGTTGGTGGTTTGAGTCCACTCTTGAAAGAAAACCCTGTTGAGTGTAGTTCTACACAATGAGGTTGCCATGAGTTGACATTAACTTGATGGCCACTGGTTTTTAAAACAGAAATTATGGTTCCATGTCTCAGCAGCATTGGATCTGCACTGGACAGCCCCCTTAACCCCCTTACCCCTGCTCAGCCCAGGCAAGCACCTACCTTAACGTGGTAGTGGGCATCCAGCAGGATGTTGGCGGGCTTGAGGTCCAGATGAAGGAGTGGCGGGGACATGCAATGTAGGAAGTTCATGCCCACCGCGGTCTCGTGGGTGATGCGGAAGCGCAGCTCCCAGGGCAGCGGCTCTGAAGCCAGCAGTTTCTCCAGGGAGCCTGTCTCCATGTACTCCATGACCAGGCCCACAGGTTCTCGGCATATGCCGTACACAGGGAGAATGTAACGGAATTTGGCCATTTCCATCTTCTTGGCTTCTTCCAAGAGTTCCATGCGCTCCCTAAAAAAGTTCAACAGTATGAAAACCATGCAATGATCACCCCACACAGAATGAAGTACCCCAGAGCCAAGCAACAAGCAGCTGAATGTCACATAGTCAGATTCTAGGCCTTCCTAAAGTCTACAGTACGGAGGTTATTCAAACACACCTTCAGCATCATGAGGTCACTGCCAACGAGGAGAGAAATTCTAATTATTCTAATTATCTTAAGCACCAACAGTAGCGCCGAGCCAAGGCAAGCACTTGGGGCTGCAGAATCAGGTCTATGGTGATAATCCCCTTCCTGAGGTGAGGTTCCAACTCAAAGCTACTGTAGCTAATTATCTATCCTACGAACCCAACTCCCCTTCTTTTTGTAAGTGCCACACTTTGGTCAGCCCAATTACTCCTGAATTCAATCTCACACTTAAATGACTGGAACAGCAGGAGTCTACAGCAGGGTCACAAACTATGAGGGCCAAGTCCAGCAGGCCACCTGTTTTTGTAAATGCTGTTTCACTGGAGCACACCTACTTTCACTATTGTTCTATGTCTATTTTACACTACACAACAGCAGAGTTAAGAAGTTTTTTACCCTCTGGTCTCTCACAGAAAAAGTTTGCCAAGCCCTGGTCTAAGATCTCTACTCTAGTACAACTTGTGTCTGTGCAGACGGAATCCCAGGACAATGGTCTGTATGCGCTTAATGGGTCAGCAGTCTCCGTATGCACTCAGGAAAACAGGCTGCATTCCATGAAGGTACGTTCTGGACATGGACTAGGTCAGTGGCTTCCAAACCTGCACACAGTAGATAGTACCAGGGGAGTTCGTTGAAATGCAGATCCCCAGGCTCCACCCTTGGAGAAACTGGTTCTGCTGTTCTGGCTTGGGGCTGGGGAATCTGCTTTCCAATAAGCTCCTCCTCTGCAGGAAACTTCTAGAACATCTCTTGGAAAGACATGACCTACTGGAGCTGGGGGCTGAGGAGCATCTGAGCTACGGTCATGAGGTAGCAGACCAGGTGGCCTCCAGGTGATTTCTTCAGAATGCAGAGTCCAACACAGGCTTGTCCACAACCCACTGGGTTCTCACTGGTGTTCCTCCCAGAATTCCAACACTTCTTGCTTCTTTGTGGCGAATGCCGCTCTCAGAGCTAACCCTGCAGTAGCCGCTAGGAAGCCACTCAGCTGCTACCTGCTCCTACTTCCTGGCCTGCTGGAGAACTTGAACTGTGCCACCAAAGCACCTCCTTGAGACTAGAGCACGCTCCCAGGTCTCCCTTAAATTTATGCTGCTATCCAGCTGACCCAAACCAATGACAATCCCACCTGTGTCAGGGTACAAGTGTGCGCTATAGGGTTTGTCAATGGTTGATTTTTTAGAAGTACATTGCCAGACTTTCTTCCAAGGTGCCTCTGAGTGTACTTGAACCTCCAACCTTTTGGTTAGCAGTCGTATGTATTAACCGTGTGCACCATCCAATCCCCCCTGCACACTTCCCCCGCCCTCTGCCCCCATGATACTGTTTACCAAAAGTTCAACACTGCGATTCTGCCTGCGCTGAAATTCCCTTGCACTAGAAGAAGACTCTCTCAGCCTCTATAACTGCCGGTCCTATTCCTATAGCTGTGAACTGGGTCAAAGGTAAATACACGCATGCCAAGGGGCTGCTGGGGACTCAAGGCCGGAAACCTGCGGATCTCAACTAGGGGCAACTCTAATGCCCAGAGACATTTTTGGTTGTCAAAGCTCAGGGTAGCTATTGGCATCTGGTGTGTAGAGATCAGGCACACTGCTAAACATCCCACACATTGCACCGGACACTCCACAACAAAGGTTGAACCAGCTCAAAATGTCAGCATGCCAAGTTTCAGAACCCTTGGTTATTGCATTTTCAAAGGAATTTATAATAAACAAACCACATGTTGGAATTTAAGTAATCCTAGCACTTAAATCTAACTTGTTTTTAAAATTGTACCTTCATTTTAAACCATTTTTAATTAAGATTTATTATGGAAAGTGTTTGCTTAGTACCTACTATCTGTTACTCTGCACTGCTGCTAACCAAAAGTTCAATGGTTCAAACCCACCAGTCACTCTTTGGAAACCCTATTCAGGATCCTTATGAGTCAGAATGGACTCCATGGCACATAACAACACTAGCTATTAGGATTCATGATGAAAGAGCCCTCTTCCTGACTTACGTTTCCCTTTCAGAGGAGAAAATGTTTGTAGTTAGGTGCCATGGAACCCATTCGGACCCATAAAGATTCCATATGACAAAACAGAACTGCCCCATAGAGGTTTGTTGTTTGTTTGCTTTTCAGCTGGAATCTTTACAGCAGCAGATTGCCTCATCTTTTGCCCACAGATCCACTCGGTTGGTTCGAACCACCAACCTGTCACTTAGTAGCTGAGCACTAACTGTAACACCATAACTGTTACACCATAGGACTACCAGTAGATGGGTTATAATATACACCACCCCAGAAAGTGTAGTTAGAAGACCTAAGTGCTTTGGAGGAAAAGGATACAGCTGAGAGAATAAAGCAGGACTCTAATTTAGAGTGGGGGAACTGGACCCTGGGACACGTGTGGTGAAGGTAGGACAGCAGTAAACTGAAGGTAGGAGGGAAAAAGCCGGGTGTGTGGAAGGTACTCAGGTAACTCAATGCAAGAAAGAGCTCATGAGCACCGAGGCTCAGAGAAACAAAGGACCATAGAGCGGAAGCTCACTGGAGAATCTGAAGGCAGTCAGATTGGTGGGGACAGGGTCAAGCTTCACAAGATCTCCCAGGCCACAGGAGGACTTTGACTTTGATCTTGATTGATGGTTTCCAAGCAGTAACACTCCATTTAAATGGGCGGGG